GCAAAGGGGAAAGCACAGGGGAGACCATGCATCCTCCCCTGCCCGCTTGCTGTCACCTGTGACTCCAGTCCTGACCCAGTACTCCTGTCTTGCTCAACTGGACTGCAGCCAGTGCTGACTGCCCCAGAGCCAGAGAAATGCAAAAGGTAAGCAGTAGTGGGTGCAAGCAGCAAGGGAAGCAGGCACTGGGGTTGAAGGGAACAGGAGAAGGAGGAAGGGCAGAAGTACAGCTCCTCACCTTAGCTCTCCCTGTCATGGCTCTGTGGAGAACAGACTTCAGATGACCTTCTTATAATTAAGTTCTATAATTTTCCAGATATAGAATCTAATTATTGGGGCAGGGGGTCATCTTAAACTGAAAGACACCTTGCATTTGGGTACATATAACATTCTATTTTAATACTTTGGGGGGGGGGGTTGTACCTTATTTTTATTGCAAGCTGCCCTGAGCCTTTTGTGGTGGGGTGTGGTGCGGGGGCAGAAGGCCTGCACAGAAATCAAACAAACAGGCTAGCACTAAGCTGTGGACTTGCACAAGAAACCAACTGACTCCTGGAAGGAAGGGCAGGGGGGTGTACTTGAAGCCTGACAGCACTTGAGGTCAACGCGTGCAAAAGTCCTCACAGTGCAATACACCTGGCAGCAGTACAAAACCAAAAACAAGCAAGCAGCTATGGTTTTCAGCAAAACCAGTATGACTATGTGCACTACCAGAGTCAAAAAGTCATTATTAATAATATTAACCAGTAATCATTTTACCAGTATATTAGGGCTATGCGAAGCTTCAGTCACCGATTCGATTCCACCGAGATTCAGCCCAGTTCAGTGGCCAAACCAAATCAGAGGACCCTTTAATCTCTCTGAATCAAATCTGAACTCTCATAGTTTCATAGTTTCTAGGGTCGGAAGGGACCTGAGTAGATCATCTAGTCCGACCCCCTGCCATGGCAGGAAAGAGTACCGGGGTCAAATGACCCCAGCAAGATGTTCATCTAACCTCCTCTTAAAACCCCCCAGGGTTGGAGCCAGCACCACTTCTCTTGGAAGTTGGTTCCAGATCCTAGCCATCCTGACCGTGAAGTAGCACCTCCTGATATCTAGCCTAAATGTACCCTCTGCCAGCTTGTGACCATTATTCCTGGTCACTCCTGGCAGTGCTTGGGGGAACAGGGACTCCCCCAATGCCTGCTGATCCCCCCGACTAGTTTATAACAGGCCACAAGGTCCCCCCTCAGCCTTCTCTTTTGGAGGCTGAACAGGTTCAGGTCCCGTAGCCTCTCCTCATACGGCCTGCCCTGCTGTCCCCAGATCATGCAAGTGGACTTCCTCTGGACCCTCTCCATGCTGTCCACATCCCTCTCAAAGTGCGGCGCCCAGAACTGGACGCAGTACTCCAACTGCGGCCTGACCAGTGTTG